ATGTTAAACTATTAGAAAGATCACTATTTGAGGAAGCTATTTTAAGAGAATTCAATTTAGTCTTGAAGAGTTACATAAAAGAATAACTAAATTAGTTTAAAAATATTATACTTAAAACACATTGGAGATCAGAAGTACTAAAATTATAAATTATAATATACGTGCATTGTCACAAATGTCACACCCCCTCAGAAAATCATTTTTTATATAAGTTTGCCTGGAACGACTACTTTCTTTTGGGGGGGTTAATTTGCTGAATTGGGATGAATTAATTATCTTAAGGGAAAAATCAATGCATTTTTTGGGGAAAAGTATCAAGAAAGAATGTTAAAAGTTGCCTTTTTTATGAAATTGTGATTTTTTGTGTTTATAGATTTGGTAATGGCCTACCAAATATGTAATTATGTTGGATAAAAACATTGCTTAATTATTACTAATTCTGTTAAGATCCCTGACTACAGCGAAAGGTTGGGTTTAGGCTGGGTTAAACCCCACATTTCTAAAAGAAATCCTACTGGAGAATGTCCAATCAGCTGTTACATCTGTAAAACAGGTATCTATGTATCTTGATGATAAGGTAATTCTAAAAATTCAATTTTTCAAAACTGACAAAATAAAGCTATTATAATGTGTTCAATAATTTCATAAAAACAGATTCAAAGTTAAGGCCTTGTTGGCTTCAAGAATTTAATGTATGGTTGGAAATATAAAACTTTATTTAGGGCAATTTAATCCAGTTCAAGAGAATTATAAATCTGATGAGAAGGAAGGAAGGAAGCAAGGAAGGATACAGCTATGTACGACATGCTTTACTGAAATACATGTTGGTTAGTATTTTGGCAAACAATTTTTTCATAATTTTTTTCACCTGAAGTTTATGTGAAGAAGTGTTAGTTTATCAAAAAATGTATCATTTAAAAAAAATGTCATTCAACAAAGCAGATAAATGTATATAGTTCAATAATATTTAATCAGTTAGATCGATTTTTTGTTAAATGATGTACTTTAAAGAATAATATATAAATAGTTGAAAATTGATTTATATTTTTAAATGTATAGGAAAAGTCCATAGTTGTTACGCATACAGGGTTTCTGACAACATTGTGAACCTTGTCCAAACAGTTCCTGCTAAGTCACGGGAAAAGATTAAAATAATTTTAAAATCTTTTAGGATAACAAGTTATAAAAAATTTAGAAAAACTGTAGATTTTTTGTTGATTTTATCCTATAATCATTCATGAACTACAAATGGTATAATTGCTAGTTATAAACCAAGGTTTGTGAATTTAAGAGGATTTAAGAGTGAATTTAAGTGACCCTCCATGATAGCCTTATTCACTATTGTACCTTTGAAACCTTTATTTGATTAATAATGTAAATTAATAATGTTTTTCTTGGGTTTAAAAGATTTGAGAATACTACCATTGTGAATCAAGCATTGCAGTCTGAGCATGAAGGGTCACTTGAAACTACTCTTACAATTATTGTAAAGTTTTTTTAATTCATTAAAAGTCAATTTGCATTTCTTCAATATCTCTATTACTATGTAAAAAAAATTGTCTTTACAGGATAAGGTTAGCTCAAGAATGGTGAACCTAGCCGCTAAACGAGCTGGTAAGTAAATGATGAATTGGGCATATACTGTACTTTCTTCTTTTAGAAGAGAGGGGGGGGGGGTTAAAGTATCTTCTACATGGAGTAAATAAAATCCATCCTGGTACTATATCATCTGCCCAGAGTAAATAAGATCCATCCTGGTACAATATCATCTGCCCAGAGTAAAAAAGATCCATCCTGGTACTATATCATCTGCCCGGAGTAGGAAAGGGTTTCATTTAATTTTATTGTTAAGGAAATTTAAATGTTGAACTAACTTCATCTAACAACAAAAAGCTACAAGTGGAGGTACAATATTTCAATATTAGATTTTTTAAATTTAGTTTCAATTCTTTCAATTTGCAGTTATAATTAAAAAGTATAATTAATAGGTAAACCATCCGATCTTTCCCCTGTTTTCTCAGTGGAGAAGATGAGGGAAATCAAACTAAAATTAAATCTTAGTGACCGAAAAATAAGGTAAATAATTTAAGTGTTATTTACAATGAAATTTATTTAAATGCGCTGCAATTTCTCTAATAATAATATAGGCAGCTGGGTCAAGACTTAAGATATGTCCATGGAAGAAATGTTGTTGAGTCTAACATGGAAGAGAAGTAAGTACCCCTTTTTTAATTACATTTACATACACTTACTAGTTTGATTCAAACCACATTGAAATCATTTATTTTGTGAACTAAATAAAAATTACTTTGAACAAAACATGATAAGTATTGTTTCAATTAGTATTCACAAATTGATAAAGATGTTAATTCTTGAGAAGCATCATCAACAAATTAAAAGAATAATAATTTAGACTATCTGCTATGGCGCATAGGATAGATGATTTTTTTATTTGTACTGATCTGGAGTTAGAAGTTAAGGAAGATGGTTATTATAAAAGCAAATTACGATTACAAAACCAATATAGTGTGTTCCTTTTTCATCAAACTTTTAATAATCATAACTTGTGCCAATTAATGGGCTTCATATTGCACAGTTTTATGGATCTAATGCAATTTAGTTTCTAATTTATAATTGCAAGTGCAAATATGTCAATGAAATTACAAAAAAATTATAATTTTTTCAGGAAATGTTACAGTAAAGAAGTGCCTTTCTTCCATGTAATAGATGTATCTGACTCTGTGCTTTTTCTCATGGAAGTTGGGGCATTGGATCCATACCAACAGCAAGTCAAAATAGGAATTGATGATGGCCAAGGTAATGACATAAAACAATATTACTTTTATAATCAAAAAACATTTTGCAAATTTTCCAAAAAACACTTTGTGCATAAAACTTGATTTTTTACCATCTTCATATTGTCTTTTGAAAATGATTTATTAGAAAAGTTGAAGATCTGCCTGTCCATCATTCCTCTCCCTGGGGACAGTAAGAATATTGTAAGTTTTTATCTTTTAACTTTTGGTTAGTATTGCTCCTGATAATAGAGGGCACGGCTTTACCCCTATTATTTAAAAGAAGAAAACCTCCTTTGACAGAACAGTTAATCCGTCATACCTAAGTTTTAATTATGGCTGCCTATAGAGGAAAACATAATTCAACACAGCTTAAATTTTTTTTACAAATTTTGGTCTAATTAATAATTTGTTTGATTATTTAGGTTAATAGTGTTAAGCGTGTTTTTATAGTTGGGATTGCTGCAGGCATTTACATATTTTAAAGAACAATGAAAGGATGTTTAACAACTGTACGGAATTTCTACTGCATGGTTACCTGCAACTATGAACTGGTTCCATTCTTTGCCAATTCAATTAAAAAGCCATTTAAAGATAATATTCAAAACATAAGACATAAGAAATCAACATATTTTAATAATTTAAAGTTGTCTTTACAACGTCACATGTTCTAATGTGAGTAACTCAGTAATATTCAGCATTCTTAATATGATTGATTAAAATATTTTTATGAAGGAGTTCCGGAGAAGAATGAAAATTTACGGAAGGTATTATATTAATCATATTAGAAGTGATCAGCGAAGAGGGTGGGGGTCATTTGTATTAGACCAAGTTTTAGTTGGAATTATTTATTTATTTTAATATCAATATTAAATTACAATTTTGATTAGATGTTGGGATTGATAAAGATACAAGATGTTGACTGTGTGGTCACAGTGGATATAAAACTTGGTAGGGCTAAACTTTTTTATAATCCTGAAGCACTCAAAAATTCTTATATTTCCATACATTTCATTTAATATATATCCAGAATCAGTTTAAAAGAGCAAGGAATTCAGAATATTTGACATAAATTTGTCAAAATGTTTATGATCACACTTTTATATTAAGGTGACAGTTGTTAAAAATAACCTATTCAGCGCTGATGCTTGTGGGAAAACAGAGTGCGGGTTGCACTTACATCTGCATTTATTGCAATGGGAAAGCTCCATATGATGACCATGACCAGGAATCCAATACTCTTGGTTTTCTTGTAGAGAATAACAGGGTAAATAATTAGTTAAATTTTATCAATTTATCAATTTAAATATAATTAAATTTATAATATATTCTCAGTATATACCGCCAATGAAACTCTTTATCTGTACTTTTCACCTTAAATAACGACAGTTTTTGTGAGAAAAGATTACATTTAAATTGAGAAATTGACTTGCATGATTATTGTTCACACCCAGCTAGCCAAATTGCGTAGATAGCGTGGTCGCATATTATTTTGGCTATAATTGCGCAATTAAAACGCAAATTTGCGTATGACTAGATTTCAAATTAGTGTAAATATCTAATTTTTCTAAAGAAAATATTTTATAACCCAGCTTTAAGTAAAAATATCATGAATTTGTGAAGATGTGTATCATTTTATTTCAGGTATACAAATTGCGTAATTCCCTAAAACTCTAAATCTAAATTATTTGTGAAATATCTAAAATTTCCGATACGGCATATATTGCATTTTCCCAAAAAATTGAAAAAATAAACTTTTAAAAAGAATTTAAGTTGTCTTTGTTAGCATTAAAATTGCGTAAAAATTGCGCTCTTTTTACGCATATGTTTTGAGTGTTTTAAATATTGAAGAATTGAGTGGTCCAGGTGTGTGTGCATAGTGCAGAGTGCAGCAATGTTATATTATATAGAAAGCCGTGTGATATGTAGATAAGGGTGGGAAGGGGGGGGGGATAATTGGGCAGAGAATTTACAGTGCTATATAGTACACTGGTTTTTAGTACCAAATTTCACCGCTAGGTGTCTCTATTTGTTTCATGTAAAATTTAAAAAAAAGTAAAAAGGATCAGATTAAATTTTTTACTAAAAATATATCATTTAGAAGTCAAGATTTGGGTTTTAAATTATTTTAAATTTTTTTAAATAAAATATTTTTATTAGGAAAATGCACTGAATTTTCTATCAAAAAGTTTTATATAATCTTTCATAACTTCTATACATGTATAAAGCTTGACGCTTTAATCTCTATGTTGAACTGTATTCCGGATGAATGGAAACAGTTCAGAGACAGTACCATATCGGTACTCAGGGATGGATGGCCTATCTGCATGCATCAAATATCGCATAATTTTTGGTAATTGAGTAAATAAAAATGCGCATTTTTGGCGTAAATTTGTATAATATTATTACGTAAATTTTACGTCTACTAAAACCAATAAATTTACGTAGCTAAGTGTGCGATTTTACGTCTTTCATGACGTAAAAAGAGCCAAAATGTCGACGTAAAATTTACGTAAAAATGCCAAAAGAGACGTTTAAATTGCGAGCTTTTTGCGCAATTTGGCTAGCTGGGCAATTGGTTAATAAAGTTTAAATATTTCATTAAGAAGTATGTGACAGCCGGATCGATCCTGAAAGATAGTAGAGATTTTCAAAACGTGGTTGACCAGCCCCTGTTAACAGGTTAATTTTTTCTTGGAGTTCATCAATTAATTTATTGAAACTATTCTAAACTAATTTGGTGTTAAATCAATTTTTAGATGATGTAAAAATATTTAATTTACTATAATTTAGGCCATGCTCCAGATGTTAAGATTATACAAATTATAATTCCTCCTGAACTACATCTAATGCTCGGTAAAGTATTGATTTACTTTTTATCACTTTTATTAAAAAAAAAAATTAATTCAAATTATGTCAGTTCAATTAAAATAAAAAATAAAAAATACTTATGTAGGTGTTGTTTCGAAGATCATGAAAGCTCTGGAGGACTTGGTTGGGAAACAATTTATCTTGGATTTCCTTCAGGAGGTGACATATTTATTTATTATCTCCTATAATTTTAGAACTCTTACAACAATGCATGTTACAAGTTCTTTAGAAAGATTTGTGACTTTGGGGAAATAAGAAATAAGAAGGAAATAAGAAAAAGGAAGATTGGACATTTGAATTTATACCGTCATTACATTAATATACTTAAAATATTTTCAAAAACAAGAAAAATTGCTGATAAAAATTTCATGTTTCTCAGCTCAATAATGATTTTAAAGAAGAACAAGTAAATTATTCTAGCTGTATACTTACTATTGATTTTGATTTAGAAAAATTAATAAATGAAGTATTACATTTTTTCGTGTTAGATTGGCGTCACTCCTAACAAGAAGTGGGGTTCTGCACTGAATGGTAACCAGACCAGAAGGTAGAAGTAATTCACGGAAAGTTTCGGACTATTATGTTTAAAACCAAATTTACATGTCACAACTGGGATTAATTGATTAGGGAACTATAAAGATTTAGTAAAACTTACATGTGTTCCAGACAAAATTCAGGCCGGATCAGTTCACACGTTTTGATGTTTATTGGATACATTCAAAACAACAAGCAAATTATATATATAAAAAATGTTTACTTAGGTTGTTGAATCAAGTTGGCAAACTGAAACTGGGGCTGCAAGACAGAGGGGTCTATTCAGGAATGCCTTTCCTTGAAACTCTCCAAAGATTTAACAAGGTTTTTATTTTAACATTATCATCATTATTATCAGTATTATCATCATTATTAACATGCATTATTATCATTACACCTATATAAAAACATATTTTTTTAAAGGTTTAAATACCCTTTCAAGCCAGCCCTCCCCCCCCGATTTAACGTAAAAGTTCGTTAATTTTTTTTTTCATTTTTTAATATCAATTTTCATTATTATTATATCGTTAAAACTGACGAGGGTCAACCCAGACCAAAATATATTTTCAATAAATGTGGAACTACCATCTACTTTTTAACTCTACAGAGGTTTGGTCCAACACCATCACCGAATTTTAAATCATTTTTTTTATGTTCAGGTGGTTCAGTCCTGCTTCGGACAGGAAAGGGAAGATGGATTCAAGGAGAGCATAGAGAAATTCTCTGAATCCTACAGATGCTTAGGAATATCTATAACACCTAAAGTCCACATTGTCATGGACCACCTAGTGGAGTTTTTTGAGTTGAGGCCCGAGTCAACAGCAGGGAAATCCCTTCTTCTATTAAATTTATTTTTAATTCTCTCAACACCTTCAGTAATTTCAATAATTCATCCAGTGCTTGGGATCCAGATCCGTTGGATCCGCAAGATTTTGGGTTCCTGGATCCGGATCCACAATAATATGCGAATCCATGGATCCAAGGGACAAAATATCAACCAAAAACTGCAAAAAAAAATGTTTACTCTCTAAACCGAAATCTGAACCACTGAAAAAAGAGAGGTTTAAAAAATTTCCGGATTTCTGAATGGTTCATCAAGTTTTAGCATTAAGCAATAAAAAATCAGACAACAAATTTGAAAATTCTGCTAATTCTGCTATGTTAAAAAAATTCAGTAAATTATAAGAAATCACCTGGATTCAGATCCGTATTTGGACCCAGATTTTGATCCGGATCTGCATTTGGATCCAGACCCATTTTTTTCCAGTGAGGATCCAGGATCGGGATCTGGATCCGCATCCAAATTAAATGGATCCTAAGCACTGCTTTCACCCCTACATTTCATGATTTGATTTTAGAACATTTTGTATTAAACATCCCCGTTAAAAAGAAAAAGTGGTTGGTTTAGGTTTGGGATACTATTCTGAGCAGGCCTTTGAAGCCATCCACTATGACTTCTTAAAATTTGAAGAACACTGCAGTGTGTCGAAGGATCACAAGGACTATAGGATGAAGATGATGGCCATAGTGCAACAGTACAATAGCCTTCATATGGGCTGTTAATATAAGCTGCTCATTATCACATATTCCTCTCTAATTACATGAACATAACCATGAATCTGAAGTGCATCTATTCCTCTCTAGTTACATGAACATAAGCAGGAATCTGAAGTGCATCTTTTCCTCTCTAGTAACATGAACATAACCAGGAATCTGAAGTGCATCTATTCTTCTCTAATTACATGAACATAACCAGGAATCTGAATTACGCATCTATTCCTCTCTAGTAACATGAACATAACCAGGAATCTGAAGTACGCATCTATTCCTCTCTAGTAACATGAACATAACCAGGAATCTGAAGTGCATCTATTCCTCTCTAGTTACATGAACATAACCAGGAATCTGATGTGCATCTATTCCTTTCAAGTAACATGAACATAACCAGGAATCTGAAGTGCATCTATTCCTCTCGAGTTACATGATCTAGATGACAATTTCCAAATATATTTTCAAATATATATTATAATGTATTTTCAAAAATATTCTCGTCTTTTGAAATATATTCAGGAATCATCATTTTCCATTTCTTATTACTTTTCTAATAAACTTCTTATCATGTTCTACTAAATTTATGTATAGTTGATCTCATTATGTTCTACATACTGATTATATACTATAGTTGATCTTAAAGATTAGAAAAATAGAGTTTGAGGCCACTCATCAGTTACTTTCCACATTGGCTGATACAGCTAGCTCTAGATTTTATGCTACCTGTGGATATTGAGATAAATGCTTGATATCGATCTTTTGCTAATTTGCAGAATAATTGAAATGAAGAAATAAAGCATTAATCCTTATTGTAAAAGTGCCCTCAGTGGATATCGTGATTAAGCGAATGGGGTAATGAGTATCCAAGCACAAAAGTTCCCAGATCTAATTATTTACATGCTGTTTAGTTTAATTTGTTTAACTGTTGTGTTCCACCCCCCTTCTCCTCCTATCTGTTTACTGCGATTTAGATGTAGAAGATTTAATAAAGAAACCATTAGAATTTTTATCCTGTGGGCTTAACAAATAGATGAAATATAAAATGTTTAGTATATTTGTGTTAGAATGAGTTTCACTCATAAGGTACAAGAAGAAAAATTGTAGTAAAAAATGTTTTCAATTAATTCAGGGGGAACGTAAATATATAAATGCAGAAAACGCCACAATAAATGTAGCCCCAAGGCATTGAATAACACGTCCCTCCAACTAAAACTTTGCTGCAATGGATAAATAAGAGTTTCAAACATAAGAAAAAATTGCGATTTATAAAGATTTATAAAGATATTTATGTATAAAGCTTCAATATCTTGTGCAAACAAAATCATTACATATGTAGTTTTTTAGGTATTTCCTAGTAAATCAGAAAAAAATATTTACTATTATGTTGTCCTCAACATAAGTTCTTTGGTAATTTCTATGTAGATTCAGTTTTGGAAAAGAAAATCAGGAAAAAAAAATTCTGTCTTGTATTTTTTCTACATTGTTTGGGATGAATTGGAAAAATTTAAATATTTTGAATTTCTGATCTTATCAGGAGTAGATGAAAAAAATATCTATTTCCTCAATTTCTTTGATTCAGTGAAATGGAAACCAACAGAAATGTATAGTGGGTTATTAGCATGATATTCACATAAGCTGGTATCGTGCTAAAATATCCTGGACTTTTATGAAGTCAAAAATCCAGCATTAATTGGTAACTCAAGGCATAAATTTTTATCAATTTTTTTCTTTTCCTTCAAAACTGTAAAATGGGGTTTCAAAAACACAATATAAACGAAAATAGATTCAAGAAAATTTTTTTTCTAATACGTATACTTCCTCAAATTTTCTTAATTTAGATGGTATTTTGACCGTAAAATCCAATGGGCCCGATGAAATATTTTGATAAAAACAGATTTGTATTCCCATGCGTGTCATTCAACTTATAAAATAAATTTAAGAGGTGGTTGTAACAACGAGGTCAAAATCGCTTCCGGGGAGGTGTGAGTATGTCCCTTTTGAAATAGAATGTGACTTAAATATGTTTAATTAAATTCTCAAACTTGCACATTCTTTTTAACTTAAAATTGCTCAATTTTAATTTCACAATTCCACGCCAGGTTTTAAACTTAAAAAATATGAAATGACAAGATATGATTAAGCAAACTCTAAAAAATTGCGTTTATCAAATTGTGTTACTTCTAGTATTTAGACAATACACTTACTTGGCTGCCGCATCTGATTGAAGATTAAAGACAGGAACTGGAAGAGACCGGGGAGGAGTTGGTGGGTCATCTGGGTCCCTAAAATAATAATGCTATAATTGGTTACCATCTTTTTTTGATTGGTTTCCAACTTACTGGTCCAAACAACAAAATTGCTTCTCTATAGAAATCAATATCTTATTCATAAACATGCTTAAAATCAGGTTTCTGATTAAACAAGAAACATCTTTACTCAGCTTCAGATCTGAATTAATATGAAGAATTTAGAATTTTTCTTGAAAAATCACATCTATATATAAAGAACCTGTAAAATCTTTCGTTGGAATGTTTAGAAAGATGAAAATTTCCCTGTATGATAATTGAAGGACTGCAGTATGGTTTTGGTGAATTATATTGGCGTACAAAGCCTAGGGGTGTCAGAAATGATTTTTTTTGCATACCCCCCCTATTAATTTTGTACATGGATCTTACTTATAAGACATGGATATAATTGATCATATGGGCGCAGCGCCCAGCCCCCTAGCCTAACCTAGCAACAGCGCTTGCCCCCAAGCCTATCCTAGCCGCAGCGCTCGGCCTGGAAAGTGTCTTAACCTAACCTAACCCTAAATATACACTAATTTTATTGAAAATTGTTGAAATTGAAGGTCTTTTCTGGCTGCAGAGCTCAGCCCCCTTCCTTGTCCTAGCCGCAGCGCTTGGCCCAGAAATTGTCTTTCCCATTCCTAACCTTAAATTAATACAAAATAAAAAATAATAAATTTGATGAAAATTAGTGGGTATGTAGGGGGGAGGGGGTCCAAAAATCATAAAATTTTAGGGGTCGAGTCTGCCCCATGCAGGACACTGCAATGGCAATTCAGGTTTTCTACATTATCCGTCATAAAAATAGTCAATTTAATCCCAAAAAATCCTAAATCCAAAATACTTGTTGGATCGTGTCGCGCACCCCCACACAGTACGTGTCTTGTTCGTCAGGAACTTCTATATTTTCTCGTCAAAATAATAAGAGCAACTTTCATTTTTGGCAAAATTGAGTGTTAAAAAATATATTGCGAGTCTATATAATCCTTCCCTTAATTTCTGAATTAATACCTATAATATGACAAGCAACTTTTATACAGGTGTGGCTGCAGAGCCCAGCCTAAAATTTAGATACTGGCAGACCTGGCAGTTTACCTTATTCTTCTTTTCCCGTTTAAATTAGTAGGATTGCAGTCGACGTCACTATCCCCCTCCTCCATTATTCTGCAAGAGTTATTACTCACTGTATTTTCAATTCACAAATAATTTTAAATTTATTTCTAGCACTGAAACATACGAACCGACCGAAGGGGAGGATTTACCGCGTAATATACTGAGAATCTCAGCGGCATTGGCTACAACCGGTTTACCTTAATAAAAGGGGGTGTACAATTTGTAGATTTTTGAAAAATATTTAATTTTCATAATCAATATTTCAATTATATCAAAAAACTAAATATCTTTATCTAGATGATTTAAGCACATTCCTTATTTAAAATGCGTTCCCAAATAAGAATGCGTGCCATGCATGCAAAAAAATAATTCAATTCCCTCTGCTAAGAACAAAGTACAACATCATGAGATACTAGGATACCCATTTTAAAGAGTTTACCTGGATACAGTAGGTCCATTGACTCCCTGCAGATATAAAGGGATTGTCTGCAGACACATTCTCACTGTACAGGATGGGTTCACTAGGTATGTTGTGGCTGTACCAATTCCAGACCTAGAAACAAAAACCAAATTAAGTGCATTAAATGATAGGTTTTTCCTGGTTCATGGAATGCCAGAGACGATTCACACTGATAATGGATCTTCTCTGATGAGTCATTTATTTCAAGACACTTGCAAACAAATGGGTGTTAAAATGACGCAAACCCCCACCTATAGTCCCCAGGGAAACAGAGTTGAGAGGGCTCATAGAACACTTGGACAATTACTTAGGTCTGATGAAAGTTCTAACCCCAGCTCCTGGGCTCAAAAGGTGGATGCTGCTATATTTGAAATTAATATATCTAGAAACTGGATTACAGGGGTTGCCCCTTACTATGCAATGTATGGACGAAACCCCCGGGTTCCCCTAGATGTATTTTTCCCTGACAACCATATACAGGGTGTCTTAAAATGGACTAACTTTGTGTTGAATCTATCAAAACATATTGAAGATATCCACGAAGAGATGGCAAAGCATGAGCAATTATGCATCCCAGTGTCCACAGAAATTAAGATACCCCGGGGAAGTTCAAATATAAACCTGGGAGACACAGTATATTATATGTCACCCAGGGGCATAATTAATTTATCCAAGAAATTAACTTTGACGTGGACGGGGCCCTATAAAGTAACAGGGACCCCCCACTGAATCATTCTCTGTGATCAATCTTATTGGTAATTGGGCTGTAAATCAACGTGAATTAAATGTCCTGACCTCTAGACTGCAAAAAATAGATCCAGCTTACTATAAACCGGTCAATGAGCAGATTGATTTAGATCAGTTATTTGATGAAAATGACGAAGATAATGAAGTTCAAATTTCAGTGGATAGAGAGTTAAATACTTCTCCTGATGCAAATATAGAAAAACAGGCAGATGTGTTCATACACTCATCCGAGGACGAATATGTTCCCCAGGGTGTAACGGAAACCTCTGATAATCCGGAAACACCCAGGAATGTATCCCCTCAATTACACTCTCCAAATATTAGCAAGGACCCTCCAATCCTACAACCTGATCAGATAAAGTTGGAAAATGAGGCTGAAATAAGCTTACCTCAAGGTGGGTTGACCTCCACTGAAGTGACAGTGCGACCTCCTGCAGAGAAGAGGAAGTATAACCGTAGAGAATTACCCCCTCCACATGAAGGACGAGGAGGAGTTTGACAAGAAGCTTTCTCCAGAGCTATGAAACATTTCCATCAAAACCTGAATAAGAAAAAGAAATAATTTTCTTGAGGTTGTAATATTTTGTTCAAATTAACAGTAATTAAATAAATGGTTGTAATGATTGTAAAAGTTTGAATAAATGATAAAACACTTTGACTAATAAATTCTCTGATGTATATATTTAAAACAATAATGTATATATCTAAGATAGTTAGGAAAAGTTAAGAATATTAGGAGGACAGACTGACATGAAAGAAAATACTCTTGAATAGACCCCTTTGTTTTGGAATAGCATGAAATTAAGATATGATAAAAGAAATCTAATTTT